GGATCCAGATTAATTTCCTAAAGTCTTGGCTTAAAGATCTGCACAGTGTATTACACCATGTTGGCAGTTCAGAATGATGAAAATTTCTGATTGCAGATGTGCCTCTACCACTGACCTTATTAAAACTGCAGCGTGGCATTGACATACTGAACTAGCATTAAATGAGCCATCCAAGGTACTGGTAAACCATGGCACTGCAGTAACAGAACACAGCACACCTGCAAACCCCCCTGCAAAGCAGAGCAGTCAATGGCCAGCTATTGTTGGCAGGCCATCCAGAACACTGCCTTCCTGGGATACTAACTGGATCCAAGCTATCTAGTTTAATGGGAATTCAGGTTTGTCAGAGCTCTAAATCATGTGAAGGTCCAGTAGCACGCGTAGTTAAATGAAAGCATTCTGTGTGGTTGTAAAGTCTGCTTTTAGATACTTCCTAGCCAATAGCTCCTACAATTCACATTGATGCCCAGCTTGGGAAAACATAGCATACACAGTTTTTACTGAAATCTGGAAATTTTCCGGGTTGCATAATGTTAAGGAAAAACTGCTCTAGGGACCTTACATAAGCCTTCTCAGATTCCTGTGACAGGTAGAGGTTCTTTCTAGGTCCTTGTAAAGCTCACTTAATAAAAATATGTGTAGGGAATGAGAAAGGGTTATATAGGCTACAGATCAGAGAGCATGTTTTCACCCAATGTGGAATTGAGCTGTCATCTGCAGATACTACTCACAGAAATACATATCATCCTCAAAGTTACATTAGGTCTGTTAAACCCCATCTCACTCCTGACCCACACCCGTGCCACTTATTTCTTGTCACCAAATGTCCTCCCAACACAACCACCTCACCCAGGGACAATGCTGTTGTGCTTTTCAGCCCAAAAGCTCTTCCTGATGACCTCTGCAGTACTGTTTGGAAATGCAGAGGAAAAAATACCAACGTTGATTCAGTGGACCAAATAAAAGCCATTCTAAAAGCTGCCAAGCTAACTCACCTCCAGGATCTAGCAACATCAGCCTGGTGCTCAGACCAGCATGGAGATCCGAAAATCTGGTCCTGATCCTATATGACAGGGATTGCTGGTCAGAAATATGACAACTGGACAGCTGTGAAGAAGGAAAGGGGTGAGCAGAGGACAGCTATAAAGCCATAAGACATACCCAAACCTGAGATGTGCTAAAACTTAAGCCATTTAGATGCTATCTTCCTGAACTGTGCTCCCTGGTAGCATAATCTCAGCCTGCTTAAAACAACTTCTGTCGACAACATGGACTACAATATGAACTAAGTATGTCAGTGGACGAAGTACAACCTCAAAAGACATTGGTCAGTTTGCAAAAGGTTACTAGTGTCAAGAATATCCAGCAAGTTGACAGCCTTGGACATGGAACCTCTTGCTGTTTAGCAGCAACTCTAACTTGAGCCTGAGCACAGACCACTGGGGAGCATATAACTCCAGATGTTTTTCCTGCTCCCTCAAGAAATGAGAAATGTACAGCTATTCCCTGAACATTTGTGTTCAAGTGACTTTTCAGTGATACATGAGCTTGGCAACGCCATGACTATTCATCTAGGCCCTTCCACACAAAACTTCAGTTTCTGGTGACATATGGCATGGGAAAATCCAGCTCAAGCAGCTGAAGTCTGGCAAAATTATAAACAATCAGAAAGAAGGCCTTCTAATGGAGACTGTTAGACAGCATTAGCTATTGGGCCACTGTCATCATCACAGCCAGAGAATGATTTAATCTGTCAGTTATGTGAGCACTAGGAGTGATGAATAGGTCTTTGTGTTCATTCACAGCAAGTATGTATCCAGAATGACATACAATGCAGTGGGGTTTTTTTTGCCCGATAGTCCACTGGATCTCTAGAGAGCTGGGAATTTGCACAACACAGCTATCCAAAGCAGTGCCACAAAAGATACCACCCATGTTCAGAAAGAGGGATTCCCAATGTGGTTGACTAGTGCGCTTCTTCTCCAACTTGTCCATCATTTCCTACACAACTTAAAAGTCCCATGTCAACAAAGTTGCCCAGTTTTTGCCTCAGTTTTAGCCATTCCAGATGGCCACACTTATAATCAGGGTGGCACAGCAGTACGAGTGCAGCTTGTCCATGACTCCAGCACCTCGTACCACAGCAGCCACAGGGCTTCTCTGCAGAGCCATGCCACTTAGCCCTGCCAGGGCTACACTAGTAGCCCAGAGCTTTTGAGTGACCACACTCCCATTGGTGCTCAGCTGTGCTGTCAGCATGAGGAGCAGAGCAGGGTCACAGGGCTGCCAAAGAGATTCCTTTGCAGTTTTCTGACTCCTTTTGTTGCTGCAGCAGCACAAACAGACAAGAACAAGGCCAGCAACTCATATGATGTTTTTACCTGGTATAAATGAGAGTAGAGTATGCTCTATTACCTTTCCTTAACCTTCAATGAGAAGCTGGACCTAGGGCCCCATCAATCTTTACGTGGGAGTATCATGAAAGATTCAAATGGTGTTGCCCATCACTACCAGAAAGCAAACTAAACCTCAGGCAGAGGACTGTCAGATCTGGCTCCTAACTTTTATCTGACCTCTGCAAAAGAAACTGTTGAAGTTCTGGCAAGCCATGAACTATGAGTAGTCACTTAAATCCATCCCTGTTCAGTGAAATGACAGGGGTGAAGTGCTTAGAGCTAGGTGTTTGCTTAAGTGTTTCACTGAAAGGCATAAACCTTGAACCAAGGCAGTTTTCAGAGAATGGGAGATAAGGGAAGGTGGGAATGTTCACCTACAGCCATTACTTCTGAAGGCACATAAAGGAATCTACTGTCCAATGAGAGTGAAGCCAGATGCATTTGGAAACCACCAGACCAGAAATGAAGTTAAACCAGGACACTACACAGGGTAGCGTTTGCCATTTAAACACAACAAAGAAAGACAATGCAGTCCCATACCTGTAAAGATGCAAGTCACTTCAGGCAGTTAATAGGTTCATTGAACAACCATCAACCTGGAAAATTAGAGAGAAGGTACCAGCTTCTCAGTATGTTGTGTGTTCTCTCCTTTTGATAGATGACTTCCAGAAGTCATGCATGATTTTCATAAGGTGAGATAATAAGCTGTCAGTCGTAGGAAGCCTAGAGTGAACCACACAGAAAATCATCATGGTCTGAAAATCAGAAACATACCAAACAGCAAAACCAATTTCTTTCTTTAAAAATAAAATAAGGGAGTGTTTTAAACAAGCTAGCTTTGGCTTACAAGTAATATTTAGCCATCAACAAAATAGGAGGAAAGTATCTATTTGTGTGATTCCTGAGTGAACAATACAGACTACATCTGTATACCTTACCCCATGTCATATACGTGTTTTGAATCTCAATAAATATATTTATTCACATATTTACTTACAGAAGTGACAGGGAAGACTTAGATGGTATCAAATCTGGTGAGCACAGGACATAATTTTGAACAAAAAATGAGGTAACTCATGTAACCCATGGCCATGACCAGGGCACCACATGGGATGTGCTGACAGGATGGGATGTGGGTCTGGCTCTGTGGGGCCCATAGCCGGGCAGGGCTGCGGGCAGATGGAGCCTGGCCCTGCTGTGACATCACTGGGGCAGAGGCTGATGAGATTAGGGGGCTGACATGGGCTACTGGTCTTTGGGAAGGTTGAGCAGGGACTGGACACAACAGTAGGGCCCCTTGGTACCTCCAGGGCCCTGGCAGCCACGGCCCAAATGCCAAAGTCATCCCAGGCCTGTGTAAGGACACATGAGTTAGAGGCAGGTTGTGCAGATACAGCTATCTCCTGCTGTTTTGAGGCGAATCCAGCAGTGCTGGCAAGGGAAGGATGTAAACTCCATTATCCTGATCCAGATGGCAGAGTTGCCCCAAGCAGGGCAGACACTGTTAGCCACAAAGCACCTCCATTCCTAGCAATGGGGAAGAACAGGTTTTTCATGGCCAAGAGTGCCAGTAGAAGAAAGAACCAACTTGAGCCAAGCAGTGTCGTCCTACCCTGCTCCACTCTCACCCCACTCTGGGGCTGTCCGTGACTGCACTTCCCAAGGGACTAGAGGAGGAGGTTGGAAAACTGAGACTATTGCTGCCTTCTCAGCACATTATTTGCCTTGAGGAGGACCAGACACTAGGGTTTACTCAGGTGGAATACCCTGCATGAGGCCTTCATGTATTGTTTTTTTGGTTTGGCATTTTTTTTCATAGAGAGAGTCAAAAAATTGTCAGCAAGTGACAGTTTGGGTTGCTGGGCTTTAGTGGCTTTTAATTTTCTCCCCTTGGTGATTTGTGCCAACTGTTACTTCATGCATATGGAACACACAACTTCCAGCCTTTTCTCACTGGTATGAAGTAAGAGTTTGGCACGTGCTGAAAACTACAAACAGAAATTCACTCACTCTCTCCCATCTTTAATGTCAATACCCGCCAGTAATTATTTGGAGAATTAAACACATAGTCATCTTGCCGTCACCTTAATTCTCCACATTAAAAAGGGATTATATAACAAATTAGGCTGATTTAGTCTATTTTCAAGGGACTTACCCACTGGTTCACTCTTTATTAAATTAGCAAAGAAGCCTTTGGCTTTCAGAAATGTTATGAAATCCTTCCCAAGCTGAGACCACCGGTGCTAGGAATTGCTGAAGTGCTTAAACTGCTCTGGAACCACCTCCTTGGAATTTACAGAGCCTGAACTCCAGCTGACCCACCATGAAGAGAAAATATGCGGGTAGTCACTTGTAATCTGATCTTCCGATGTTTGCCTTCCAGTTTAGAAAAAGCAATCCCCCAATTCACTAGGGTCATAGAGTCTTCAGACTCTTTCCTATGCTCGTTTAAATATAACCCAGGGTTCAGATCTAGGGTATGTGACAATGGAGTCTCTGCTAATTCTCTCTCTAGTGATGGCTTAGCGGGAAGCAGCAGTTGAATAGTACAGCTGGATGCCTTTTCACCAGATGTGCAAGAATATCTACATCACCCTCAGTGATGGGGATGTCTGCTGACCAGAAGGGTAAGTTGCAAAGACACAGCATGTCTTATTCCTCCTCAGCTGACTGTGTGTTGGAGAACTAACGCTTCTTTCATAAAGAATTACACAGCATGAAGTCTGCTGATTGCCAGTCATCTGAAGGCCTGATGCAATGCCCACTGAAGCGAAAGGCTATTTTTCTTCTGCTTTTATAGGCTTTGGATCATTGCCTTACTCAAAACACTAAACCTTTGAGTATTTTGGGCTTTAGGGTCAAACGCCCTTACTTTCTGCATTCTTTGCTTTTAGCTGTAACAAGTTCATGTCACCACCACAATGACAGATTTGATGGCAAACAGATCTGTGAATCAGTACAGAAACAATCATGTACTCCTGCTTTTTCCCTTTCCTTTCCCCAACTTCTCCCTTGAGAGTTTAAACCCAGCTGCTCCAGATAGGTCATTCATTGAAATTGTAACTTACTAATTTTAAGCAACAATTTCCAGGTTTGTTATAAAAGAAGTTGCTTATCTATTTTAAACAAAAATGCCTGATAAAAACAGAAAAAGAGAAAAGAATATATATTCTGATTTTTCCAAGACTAGACAGTAATTCTGACCTCCTGTATGCTTCTGATTAGTTTGAGCTGCATGCCTTTGAAGCTGTTCCTGAAATGCTTGTGAAAGATGTTGGCCTGAAATAATGGGGCAATTGAGCTCACCCATTTATGTGCATCATTTTTACAGCAGGGGCAGGGAAAGAGTGCCTGTCGTCACTGTGTTTGCAGCACTTCCCTGAAGAAGTACTAAAGGACCAGTTGCTGATGACAGCTCCGAGTGCTGCCCACCATCAGAGTTTTCACACAACAGATGTGCACTCCTGGGTACTTCATCAGGCACTTCAGGGGGTGGTTAGGTGACCATAGCTTTTGGTCACCACTGGTGGCACTTGTTCTCTGCTAATGATCCATTCCCCATTCAGTAGATAAATCAGAATCTGAAGAGAGAGGAAAATAAAATCCCTTGTTTTCAGAGTTACTGATACTCAACTGATTGTGACAAATAAATGTTCTGGTTAAATCTGGCCTATATACAGAGAACTGATCTCGACTGGCAAGGTTCGGAAATGACCACAGTGGGTCTAAAAAAACCTCATTCCTCTTAGTTTGGATTTCTGTCATTCTCTGCTATGTATCTTTTTTGCCCATGCAGTCACCTCATGACTTGTTAAACACACTGCTTTGAGAAAGCTCAGTTAAGGAAAATTCAATATAAAGCCACATTTTTTTTCCAGTAGCCTCGTGCTCTACCACAGTTATAAAATAATGGTGTTTATCCAGCTGCAGAAATTATCAGTAACGTTTAAACACCATTGAAGTTTCCTAAAAAAAATGTTTATGAGGGGTGCTTTTTTATTTTATGAAAATCTGATTCTGTCAGATGCTTTTTACTCCCAACAGCCTCTGACTTAAGAACAGCTAAGCATTCTCATGGGAGTAACATACTGTACCATGCCTTGATAATCATTAGAGTAATAAAGTCACTCAAAGAGGAATTAATTGGTCCTAAAATTGCATGCAATTATTGGACAACTAAGTAATATTTCATCTGAAGTTGTTCATAGTAAGAAAAAACTATGTGCAAACATGCTATCTGAGATTGAAACTGTGTACTTCTTAAGGAGTCATGGCATACAAGCTATCTGCTTGTATAGAATGAAAAAAACAACCCTCAAGTGACCAACCACATGGGTAGCAATAGTGGTTCCTGCTGCCTTTGGAGATCTTCACACTCAGAAATGAAAGAATTTGCAGTAATTTTCCTTCCAATCATGATATTACATGCAGTGTGAAAATAGCATATTTCAAAATCTCTCCCATCAAAAACTAAAAGCTTCTACCCAGTCAGAGTGGACATAGAAAACAAAGAGGCTATCTTAAAGAAATGGACAGGGATAAACAATCTATTTCTATAGAAAGGATTCCTACACATATTAAAGTACTGACTCAATATTTTGATAATGTACTTTTTTTCCCCTCATTTTCTTACGCTACTTCAGGATTTTACAATGCTGATTCAAACATCTCCAATTCTGCAGCCTGCTTTATCGTGATCTATATGTAACATGTCCCAGTGGAGATGTGAACTACATGCTCCCCCTTTCCAATACACACAGCTTCAGTTCAAAGTGCAGCAGCTTCTACTTTTCCATTGAGTATTTTTCCCTTGGTCCCCAGTGTCAGGCAGTATTGTAACACTTTAATGTGATATTGCTAATATTACATAAAAAATGTCTCCTGTTCCATAAAATGTGCTAGTCCTGTAAAAGCGAAACTCTGTTGGAATATTGATGACTCAAATGGGTGCCAAGCAATCAGACATTGGCAGCTTCTGCAGAATATTTGTGACCTTCAGTTTTAGTCCAGCAGCATGGACAGAGCGGTGTTGCATTGGCAAGCCCACACGCCCAAAAAATTTCAGCCCTTCCCCCGGTGCAGTTACATGGGATTCAAAACACCACAGACAACTTCTGACCTCTCCGAGCAGTGATCACCCCCAATTATGGCATTCTGCAAACTGGGAAAATAAACAAAGAAAACTAAACAAAAGAAAACTGGGTTTATAAAAAGTACAGTAAGGGATGTACCCGGAGAGGTTTCATGGAAGTTCCTTGTGTTATCCCTGTTGGCAGCAAGCAGAACTTGTGTTGCAGGGCTTCTGGGCTTGGGTCTACAGGATTGCTACAAAACACCGGAGTGATGCCTGCAGCAAGAATAGAAAAACAACTCAAGAGTACATAGGAATGAAACTAAAGAGAATGACAAGCAGATTTAAAGAGCGCAATGTCAAGATGAAGACAGGGCTTTGAAAAAATGGAAGTAGGAAACCTCTTCAAAACCATAAAGTGCTAAAAGATTCATTCAGAAATGTCTCCTCCAAAACAAAATATTCCTATTGCCTCTCTTCATTGACATGGACATTTCCATGGGGTCTGGAATCTAATCTGGCACATCTAATTTACAGAAGCTTATAAAATTTATTTACTAGAACAGTACATGATTGATTTTAGATTTTAGATTAGTATTTTTTACTATGGATTTTATATGAGTATTTTATTTTTCCATGGAATTCAATAAAGTCATGCCAGCAGAAAACTTGGCTTTGGACTCACATAAAATATTTCATCCTAAAAAACAATAGAAACTGCAATCAGATTGCATCACTTTATATTGTTACAAACTGCAATTAATCTGTTCAGACTGAAAAGCCATATGAGTTTTTTACTGAAAGGCATGCCATGACGTTTCTCAGTTGTTTACATGTAATGCAACATGACAGGAATTTGTGTGGAGATGAGAGAAAACGAGCTATTTGACATTAACTGTTTGGAATCCTCTCTATGGCTGTTTACAGTCTGCAGTGTATTGGCAGGGCTGATTACATGGATAAGTGTAGGATTTGTAGGAGGATTTCTCATATTGAGTTGTTCTTTAAGGAACAGTTGGTGAAAACTCACAGTGTCTTTGGGTATTCAGGTCTAGCAAAGTGAGCACTAACATCATCAGTTTCTAGCAAGAGTAAACAATAAACCTAAAAAATGGAAATACATTAACTGTATTAAGCAGGATAGGTAAAAAGTAATATGATTCACACCTGCTGTGTGAAACATGAAAGTTACCTCCTCCAGTCCCTTTATTGTGGGATGCTGAGATGGGTGACAGAGTCCTGCAGAATGTCTGGGCAAAAATGATCAGCTGAGCACCACAGGGTCTCAGCTGTGACCACAGGAGATGCTGTGCAGAAAGACAGGGAGCAGGAGATTTGTGTTAGGCAGGTACAGAAGATCTGTCACCATGCCTATACAGTGACTAGCTGATGTTAGCTTGGATGTAAAGAGTCAAGGTGAGTATAGGTTCTAGGCTTTGTGCTCAGGCCTGGGCTGTAAGCATGTTTATCCCATTTAGCAAAGTTCCTTCAATTGTGAAATTTTTTCTCTCTATATATTTTTTTTTTTGCAGGTTAGCCTAGATAGTTAGTTAGAAATGAAGGGGAGAGAGCAATCTTCTCCCTCCAAAAGCCAGAAATAATTAGATTGAAAACATGAATCCTGAAAGTTCAGGAAACATGAAGCAATTAAAAAGGTCCAAATATTTACTTATCTGTTTGTTTTAAACTTCATACTTGGCAACTTTCAACAGCCTTCTGAACTGGGAAAGAATCAAAAGTTTGGGAATGAGATTTTTGAATGTCTGAGATGTTTTGGGTCAAAAATGAATGATGGCCTTCTATGCCAATTTAGGACACCTCAAATAAATAGCATCAGGGATCAGAGGGCAGATATCCAACATTGCTGTCACTTTACAATGTTTCAAACGTAGTACTTCAAATATTGAGAACCCCATAATCACCAGACACTTTTAAAATCTTCATTTAAAACTTTTTCTGAGTCAGAGAAGAATCATTTTCCTTTAGAGGTGAACCTCCCCATCATCGGGGAAAGTGTGTTTGATGATGGAAAAGGAGGAAAATTCATTAGACTAATCAAGAACTCAACTGGAAAACGTGAGTTCATTCTCAAAAAAATTAATATGCTCGTGGAAAACCAGCTGAAACTTAGGGCATCAAATGAATCAATTTTGGAAGAGGAAGAAATTACGTTACTGGTGTTAAAAAGACAAGTCTTGAGACAGATGTCATAATTTCTTCTGCTGGCAGAGATGGTGCTGAGCAGTGATGAGAGCAGTCACGCTTGGCAGGTCCCACTCCTCTGGAAAGTTTTGAGACTGCTCCTGAGCACAGAAGGATGTTGGGATGTCTCTGCCTATCCCAGCAACCCAGCTACCTATCACACAGACGCCACACTGACCTCCAGGCTGGTGGCCTGTGGCCATTAGCTTTGCTGTGAGACTGGACCAGTCGTTGGCATGCTCAGGGATTTGCTCAAGACGCAACCATTGCCTGCCTTCACCTGGGAACCTTCCTGGTGCAGGGGCTGAAGGGTGACATGGTTTGCCTTATTTACTTCCATCGGTTGTATTTGGAGAACTGAATTGGTTACTGGATTTTTTAATGGATTTGCTTTTATTTAGGACTACTGATACACACCATGTATTGCTCACCATCTTCAGCAAAAAAATGTACTCCAAAGCACACAGTCACCTTTCACTGGAGATGGATTCCCCCATATAGAAGAAAATATGGAAATCTCACAGGGAACCACAGAAAGAAACACAAACCACAGAGAAAAAGTTCTGTTCATCTCTAAACTGGTTGTCCCTCAATTAGGTAATTAGATCTGTAACAAACTGAAAATGGCTCTACAAATATAGCGAGATAACTCCTCCTCATGTCTCAGACTCTGAAAGAAGACAGCTTCAGTAAAGGCAGTGGAAAATTATTAATAAAAAAGGTGATTTATGTGTTACTCTTGTTTCTCTCCCTAGCTCATTCTTGCTGTTTGACTGACGTGAGTTACAACAACTGGATCTGTAAGTATAAATATTTTGTGCCTACTTTGAAGATTGAGTCCAGTGAGTGAAGACCAGTGAATTTATAAGGCATATTCAAGCTAGTGTGTAAAGACAAGTTTATGAAACGATGAACCTCTGGCAAGCATCTGCATCTGTTCTATTTACTCAGATAACATGAGAGAGGCCACGCTACTAAAACACATCATAAATGAGTTACTAAATTGAGTCATTCAGCCCAAGCATTAAGACTGGTAGTGATTATATATTGGTTTATTTTATTAATGTAGGCAGTTACCTCTCTAATGGAACTCAGATGAGGATGTTCCTGCCAGTAATGTGAAAAATAATAATCTCTTTTAGTTCTTACTGTCTCCTCCCTTTTCACTATGTATCTGAAATGGCTGAAATCCAGTGGCTTCTGGAAATGTAACCTCTAAAATAGTGCTTTCTTAAAAACAAATTAAAAAAAACCAAACAAACCAAAAAAATCCCCTGACAAACTAAAAACACTTGGATTGTACACAATACCGTGAGAAAGCTTCTCTCTAAATAGTTCCTCTAACAAATATAATGATGGAAGGAAACAGAGTACATTGAACAAAATCTATCCCATGCTAATTTTGTTGATTTTTTTTCCCTTAGGAAAGAGTGTTGGGTATGTGGCAGAACACAAACTGCTGAAAATGAAAATATACTGCAGAACTGGAATCTTGTTAGTCTCTGCTTCATGTTTAGCCTTTCACTCATGATCTGGGAAGAGATGGCAGCTCGTGTAGGAAACACCATGTCTCTGCCAGGCTGTGCATGACAGGAGTGATCAGGCAGTGTACACACATGCACTCATCCATTCCAAGGCAAGAAAATGTTTCTGTGGTACAAACATACAGGCAGCTGCTGCAGCAGTCTGAGGTACTGCTCTTGGTACCTCCAACCTCCTATCTATGCTATGGGTGTGCAAATGAAAACACACCTCCATGAAATTCTGTATTTTGAATATAACTGAAACAGAGATTTTTGTCCAAATTAAACTACAGCTGCCCCTTTGTTAGTGGCACTTATCTAGCTAGATAATGAGAACCCATTTTCTTGTTCTTCAGTTATAAAAAGCTGCTATAAGTACATAATATGGTTAACAAAACACATCCACAGTTAAACAATTCTAGAAGTTGTCAGTCTCAATTTTGAAATGTTCTGTGACATATCAGAGTTCTAGTCATATCATAGTATGAATTATGGGCATCACTGGCCATGTTCCCACATAAAGCAAATAAAATACCAGAGCTGTTCCTTAAGTTTTGCTTTTCAGCAGGGAATACTGATGTAAACAGCAATCCATCAATTTATCCACTGCAACCTAGAGCGTTACCATTGCGATGAAGAGCCAACAGACAGCTTTGTCCCCAGAGCATCCCTCAAGAACAGGGTGTAGCTCAGAGCATTCAATTTGATCCATCCCACTGCCATTTGCTTGAAGCTTTTTCCTGCAGACCAAGTTTCAGCTGGGGAACTGGAGGCTTTGAAAATTTGGGTCAGAGCATGTATGAAAAAGCCTTTTCACAGGAACTAATCTCTTGCCCTGGTTCAAAGCATCATGAAAAGTTCAAAGGTATCATCTGCCAGTGCTGGATAGGATAAATACCAGCATTTATTAGTGGTATGAGTCAGCAAATAATTTCTTGCCTTGCAGAGCCAGAAAGTTCATAGCTGTCAGGTTCCCCATAAAATTTGACATACAGTCATGAAATACACTGAATTCATCAGTGACTCCAGTCTAGTCATGAGTCAGTACTCACACTACCCCCACCCTCAAGCACGATAGCTAAGGTCCTTCCATTGCCAGCTGTAGGATCTGACTCAGAATCACAGAATAATTCAGGCTGGAAGGGACCTCCATAGGTTATCTGGGACAACTACTTGCTCAGAGTAGGGCCTGCTGAGGTCACATTTGTTCTTGACTGATATCCAGTCAAGACCTGGTTATCTCCAAGGTTGGAGATCCTGCAGACTCTCTGGTCATTGATTCCAGTGCTACATCACCCTCCCAGTGAGAAAAAAATCCTAACAAATGGGAATTTCCCACATTGTGCTTGGTGCATTTTGTCTTGTCTTGTCACTGTGTTCCTCTTAGAAGAATCTGGATTCAACTTTAAACATGGGCTAGTTTCTCTAGCTGCTTCCAAGTCTCCTCACATTCTCCATTCTCAGACAAACTACTCTCTCTCTAAAACGTTCGGGGAAGATGACCAGGTTCCTCCTTGCCACTACCCTCATTCATGATTTGCAGTCTTCCTCCATTCCTCACTGGAGCCATACTCACTTCATTACATAGATCAGTGAATGAGTTCAATGCTGAATCAGAGCCCTTGTCTTCTTTTAAAGAAGTCAGACAGTCAGTAATGCTCTACAACAAGGTAAGCCTTTCTGAAACAAATGTATGTGTCTAGTCCATTGGGTAGCAGGATCCAAAGTTCCTCAGGCCAGAAGGCTCAGGCCAAAGTTGATTAAGCCTTCAAGCAGAAGTCAGCATATTGTTTTCTTGGTATTTTTTCCTCCAGGCATTCAAAATCTACTCTTTTCTCTCTTACACTCTCTGTAAACTTTTCCTCAGCCTGTATTTCCTAGGCAGCTCATGTGTGTGGAAATAATTTCTGCAGTGCCAATATTCCTTTGTTGAGTCTGCCTCAGCTCGAGGCAAGTCTGCCTCAGCTCAAGTCTGAAAGGCTATTCTGCATCACATTAGATCAAAACATACAAGTGCTCTCATATTTTCTTGTCTTTCAGCATATTATGAGGCTCTTACCTATTTCATCCACTTATAAAAAACATATATAAATGCAGGGAAAGAAAAGCAAGCCCAGCAGTATGAAAGAACTACAAAACATTTTCGCATTCTGCTTGTTGACAGGTCCAGTCGTGATCAGGTTTTGATGTACACAGCAGGGAATTTATATGTATCATAAAAATTTACCTATGGTGAAGTTGGTAGGATGAAATTTGTATGTCCTGAGGTAAAAAGCTGCTGCAGTAATCTATTCTGAGATTGAAGTGTCATGTCTAACAAGTCCAGGCCTAGTGAAGACATCAAGCTTATCT